AAAAAAGGCCAAGAAAGTTGTGACAAGGATTTGATTTTCATCTTGACAATGCACCTGCTCATTCTTCTAGAATAAAAGGGACTGTCTCACGAGAATTTTGTTGAGAAACATTATTCCATTCACCCTACAACCCTGATCTTAATCCTTTAGACTTCTTTTTATTTCCCAAACTCAAAGAATATTTCAACGGAACATGATTTGAGTACCTCCAGGATGCCCAAACTGCCATGTTAATGTTGTTGTTGTTGTAATGTGCCGTTGAGTTGGTACCGACTCATAGCGACCTTATGAGCAGCAGAATGAAACACTGCTGGATCCTGGGCCAAACTCACTATCATTGCCACTCTTGAGTCCATTGATGCCACCACTTTGCCAATTCATCTCGCTGGGGGTCTCTCTCTTTTTCTCTGACCCTCCACCTTACCAAACATGATATCCTTTTCCAGCAACTGGTCCCTTCTGATAATATGACCGAAGTATGAGAGACAAAGTTTGGCCATCCTGGCCTCCAAGGAGCACTCTGGCTACACTTCTTCCAACATAGATCTGTTGGTTCTATGGGCAGCCCATGGCATTTTCAATATTCTCCTCCAACACCATAACTCAAAAGCATCAATTCTTCTACAGTTTTCTTTATTCATTGTCCAGTTTTCACATGCATATGAGGTTATTGAAAATACCATGGTTTGGGTCATGTTAATATGGTACTCATCAAAGAGCACAGAATTCTTCAGGGGAGGGTTAGGAATGTGGAACCACCACTTTCAAGAAGTGTGTGGACCCAGATTGAGGGAACCATCAGGAAGCCATAGCTTCATATGTTGGTGTCTTTGTTTAATAAAGATTTTTATGATTTTATAGCATTAAAAAAATAATAAATAATACAATGGCTTGAATCAGGTGCACTTTAGTCCTCAGCTTGACATCTTTGTTTTTTAACACGTTATCGAGGTCTTTTGCAGCAGATTTGTCCAAAGCAAGATTGAAGGTTCAAACCCACCAGCCACTCCTCAGAAACCCTATACAGGGTCACTATGAATCAGAACCAACAAGACAGAACTTAACAACAACTCTAATAACCCAGAATAATCTCCCTACTTTAAAATCATGATTGTTTTTATTGTTGTGTGGATTAGCAACCTTTAGTAAAATTCCTTTGCCAGGTAACATTAACATATACACAGGTTCTGCAGATTAACATTTATGACAATCAATTAATTAGTACCAAAAATTTTAAACATAGCAGGTATTCAAATTTTGCATACTTTAAATAATCTTGAAGTAGCATTTATGCTACTGTTCTGAAAAAGCAGAATAGATCTTTGAAGGTGTGTTTTTGTTATTTCTTACTGACATAGGTTCACTTGAATTTACATTTAAAGAAACCTTGTGGTGGAAGTATGAGAACTGTTCTCTAGAGGTGCAGTGAGATGGAAAACTATCTTTCTAAACTTTTTCCTTCCCTTAAAAAAAAAAAAAAAAATGGTACATATCAAACAGGTAGGAATTGTTACAACCTCTGAAAGCATGTACCCTGCAATGAACTTAATTTAATCTTAACAAAATAACTTGACTGGAAAACACAGTTCAGGAGGCCAAGCTGAACAATGAATTTCATTTGCAGTGAAATAAACTGACAAAAGTACAACTATAATCTCTGATTCATACACCACACTGATATTATGACTTTTATGTAATACAATTTGTCTACATTGCTCTGAGTGCAATTTTAAAGTTATCAAAGTCAAAATTACTTTATCAAAATAATGCTCGTGAAATATAACTTATATCATATTAAACTCTCAAGCTAAATTTTTTTCTACAAGTTTTACAAATAAAGGAATAATATTTTTTTCTTATTATATTCACTTTTAATTAACAGATAATATAAACTACAAAACCTGTTCTATCAAGATTACAAATCACATAGATAGAAATGTGATGTTATCAAGACTGTAACTCATAAAAATCTAATTTTGAAAAGTAACAAATATACAACAGTCCTTTTTATTCTGAAAAGGCATATATTATGGTGCATCTTATAAATAAAAATGTGAATTATGATTATTTAAATAAACCTAACATACAAATTTGCTTATCAATTGTTGTTGTTGTTAGGTGCCATCTTGTCCATACAGATTCATAGTGAACCTATGTATAACAGAACGAAACACTGCACAGTCCTGAGCCAACCTCACAATTGTTGCTTCACTTGATAACTTTACTTTGATTACTTGAGCCTACTGATGCTGCCACTTTGCCAATCCATCTCGCTGGGGGTCTTCCTTCTACTGCAAAGTGGTAGCATCAATGGACTCAAAAGTGGCAACAATTGTGAGGCCAGCCCAGAAGCAAGCAGTATTTCATTCTGTGTGCACAGGGTCGCTATGAGTCAGTATCGACACGATGGCATGTTACAACAACAACAATAAACAAGTACTGTCAGTAATACAAATCATTTCATTAGGGAGCCTTCAAAAGCAGACCAATCAAAACAGTGGATCCCAAGGGGGCCTGCTAGGTCAGTAAATTTAAGATAGAAGAAGTTTTGAAGAGCAAAGATGTCAGCTTGAAGACTAAGGTACGCCTGACCCAAGCCATGATATTTTCAATAACTTCATATGTATGTGAAAGTTGGACATTGAATAAGGAAGACCACAGAAGACCTGATGCATTTAAGTTATGGTGTTGGAGGAAAATATTGAAAGTGACATGGGCTGCCAAAAGAACCAACAGATCTGTGTTGAAAGAAGTGCAGCCAGAGTGCTGTGCTCCTTAGAGGCCAAGATGGCCAAACTTCGTCTCTCATACTTTGGACATTTTGTCAGGAGGGACCAGTCCCTGGAGAAGGATATCATGTTTGGTAAGGTGGAGGGTCAGAGAAAAAGAGGAAGACCCTCAGCGAGATGGATTGGTAAAGTGGCAGCATCAATGCACTCAGGCAGTGTTTCATTCTGTTGTGCATAGGGTCACTATGAATTAGTACCAACTCGATGGCAGCTAACAACAACAATAACAACAAATTATGGGGACCCCCAAAGGAGTAATAGTGGCAGATTTTCTCAGAGAACACAAGAGGATAACAGGAACTTATTGTGAAGTTTTAAGAAAATTGATGGAGTGGCTGGGGACTTGAGATCCAGAGAGGGAAAGGGGTTGTGTGCTAAGGACCGTTGGGGGAGGGGGGTCAGGCTTGCAGGGTATACCCTTTGGTTGGGTGATGATGCATGGACAGGATGGTAACTATGGCAATGAAACGATGTATGATAGAATGAATGTAAAACTAATGTTCTCCCACGTAAACTATCACACAATTCACAATAAAACATTTATTTAAAAAAAAAAGAAAGAAAGAAAATTGAAAACTGCATTCCTGAGAAAAGGTCAAAAGAGTTACACTTGGATTTTTTTTTTCCTATCATGACAATGAACCTGCTCATTCTTCAAGATAGTAAGGACTGTTTAATGAGAATTTCACTGGGAAACTTACCTCACCCACCCTAAAACCCTATTAGAATATTCACTGAAACACTATTTGTGAAAATACAGAACTAGAATCAGTCTAATTTTCCATCAAGAATAAAAATGATAAATTGTGAGATAGCCTTATATTGAGAAAGAACTGAATACCTCTATGTTTAACAACATGATTTATACCCCATTATTTATAAGGCTGAGTGAAACAAGGCAGAATTTAAAAAGCAAACACCACAGGATTCAAATTATATGTAAATTAAACAGGAAAAAAAATGCCAATGTCGATACTTTTGGGTGGTTGTCGTTACTAAAGATTAAGTAGGGAAAGGAGTAGGATTATTGTAATGTGCTGTTTCTTGATCTAGATAATGGCTACAAGAAGGTCAACTTTACAAAAATGCATTGAGGCATACACTGATAATCTGTGCACCGCTGTGTATGTATTTTGAAATTTAATAATTTCTTATTTTAAAAGATATGGTTTAGAGATTGTTGATCATAATTAGTAGGTAAAATCACAAGACATGACTGTCTCCTAGAAATATAAAATGTAATCTTTTTCATGTTTGTAATATATTTAAAATAAAAGAATTACATACAAAAAATGATTTCAAAATAGTTTTACTTTTTTAGAGGTGTATATATAACCTTGCTTGCTGAAAGTGAAGAGGACCTAAAACATTTACTGATGAAGATAAAAGAGCATAGCCTTCGGTATGGATTACATCTCAATGTAAAGAAAACAAAAATCCTCACCACTGGACCAATAAACAGCATTCTTATCAATGGAGAAAAGATTGAAGTTGTCAAGGACTTCATTCTTCTTGGATCAACTATCAACATTCATGGAAGCAGTAGTCAAGAAATCAAATGGCGTATTGCATTAGGCAAATCTGTTGCACAAGACCTTTTTAAAGTGTTAAAGAGCAAAGACGTCAGCTTGAGGACTAAGGTGCGCCTGACCCAAGCCATGGTATTTTCAATAACCTCATATACATGCAAAAACTGGACAGTGAATAAGGAAGACCGTAGAAGATTTTATGCTTTTAATTTATGGTGTTTGGGGAGAATATTGAAAGTTCCATGGCCTGTTTTGGAAGAAGTTCAGCCAGAGTGCTCCTTGGAAGCCAAGATGGCCAAACTTCGTCTCTCATATTTTGGTTATATTGTCAGGAGGGACCAGTCGCTGGAGAAGGATATCATGTTTGGTAAGGTGGAGGGTCAGAGAAAAAGAGGAAGTCCCCAATGAGATGGATTGGCCACATGGCAGCATCGATGGACTCAAGCGTGGCAATAGCAGTGAGGTTTGCCCAGGATCGGGCAGTGTTTCATTCTGCTGTGCATAGGGTCACTATGGGTCGGTACCAACTCGATGGCACCTAACAACAACAACATACATCGAAACTATGTTGCTACAATTAATCTTTAGGCATAAAAAGAAAGCTTTTGAAATACATTTTAAATATCTTAACATTTCTTACAACTCTACATTTATCACATTTCCTCAAAATGCAAATTACTTTACAGTGAAGAATGGTCTGTACATATAATCTTAAATTCGGACAATGGAAACTTCTAACAACATAGAATGATGGTGTTTTAAGTTATAGAGGACTGTAATGTATTCAGGTAACCAATGCTGACTCTACAAAGTACACTACAAAAATCAATTTTTATCACTTGAAATCTATTGCAATTAGAGAGCAATGCCAAGTCACTGACACACTAATGGATTTCAAAATATTTCTAAAAGAATAAGGAAATTGTGAAGTGTTTTAATTGAAATGCAGCTCAAATAACTTTAACAAATTGGATGATGTGTGCTTTCTGTAAAACTAGCATATAAAACTATCTTACCATACAGTGTTGAATTTTAATAAATTTCCAGCATTATATATCTATACTTTATAGAACAGTTATCTTACATAGAACTTTTATTACATCTTCTAATATAAAAGGAGCTGTTTTTCTATGTTCCAAGTGCTTGATTTTTAATTTCATTTTAGTACAATTGTGTAGCACTTCCAGAGAGGATATGCTCTACAAAATTAGACATGGCTTGCTTGAAAAGAACATTATATCTGACTGAAACATATTTTTCATTTACTCAACTGCAACACTGTACCTCATGGAAATGATTAAGCTCAAATTAGAAATCAGGTTTTCTAATTTCTGGGATGTTAAATTAACAGCTTCAAAAATGATAATTTCTGACCACAATAGTTATAATTATGTATAAAAGCAGAACTACTTTTAGACTATCACAATCCTCAGTTTTCATATATACTCCTATTTCCATATGGTGTCCTGGTGGTACTGCATTGTGCTGCTAGCCACAAGGTTGGTGGTTCAAACCTACCAGCTGCTCCAATGAATAAGACAAGGCTGTCTTTTGGGTATTTAGTTAATGACAGCTAATCCTTTGATTTTCTAATTTCTGACTAAATGTACTGGACTTGAAAGGCATTCCTAACCACCACCAACACACACACACACACACACACACACACACATTTCTACCTTTTTACAATCATTCATGCAGCTCAAGAATATCTATCTTCTTCCTTCCCTTCTCACCTTTCTTTCTCTGCACTGCTATCTCCTTCCCAACCTTAATGTTAATATCACCATTATCTCAAAAAAACCCTTCAATTCTGAAGTGTTATTTGAAGCACCACACAACTTGTACCTGCTGCACTTAGATTCCTTTTGACCAACAACTTCACGGCAAATAAGATATAGACAAGAGTAGTATTTTAGCCATCACAAGGCTGTGTGCTGCTCAGAATTAAAACGGCCTCCACAAAGGAGCTCATATTAAAACTCAAGCTTGTATTTTGTTTCTTTTGTTTCTATCTCCTTTAAGATTCACTTTCCCATAATACATACTGGGGAATGGAATATAGAGAATGTCTCATGTTATTTTTTACTTTCTCCACAGCATGGTAAACCAATTAACTTATTTAACCATTTTTGTCCTGATCACTTTTTTCTCTGCAATGCTACCAATTAGGGCTGCACTGGTGTTTCAAGTTTTTATAAAGGATTAGCATGACTAACAGGATGTAATGTTCACTGGTTCTTTAATTTTCCCATGCAGTAGAGTTACCAGGTTTTGGTAAAATACTGACTGGTATAACTGATTCCCTGAGTGGTTGAATGTAGGTCTGGGTAGAACCTGACAATCTGTATTTCTAGTAAGTGCCAGGTGATGGGGATACTGTAGATCCACACTTTGAGAAACACTGCTGTAATTCAAGGGGGGGAAAAATCATATGATAAGCAAATCTCATCTCGAATGGTTCCCTCTTCTACACACTTTTGCCTAATTTTGTGTCCCCACACTCTACCAAAGGTCAGTTGTTTAAACTCATCAGTTCCTTGGAAATGTTAATGTCGCTATGAGTTGGAATCAACTCTACAACACTTAACAACAACAATCCTCAGATCCACGTCTCTCTATGATAGCACAAATACCCAAAATTCCAAAACCATTGCTAAAAAGTCAATTTGATTCTGATCAACACATGCAGAGTAGAATTGCACTCTGTTGAGTTTTCAAAACCATGACCTTTTTAGAAACAGATCATCAGGTCATTTTTCTCAGAGGCATTTCTGGATAGGTTTTAAATGCTAATCTTCCAGTTAGTAGTGATGAGCTTAACCATATACTGTACCCAGACACTCACTGTGGAAACACATTCTTCCTCAAATTTTGCTAGCAAAACCTCTATCATTTAGAAAACTCTTTGAGTGGTACAGTTTTGCCTTAGATTCCTTTCCCCATAGCTGAATTTGCTCTGTGTAAAATAATATCCTCACACTTCAAGATATATCCTTGAGAGAACATTTCATGTGAGTTTTTTGTTTACTCCATTAAATCTCACAGCACAGACTGAGGAGGCCATCAGTATTCAATTCTGGCCTTCTTCAGTGTTTTATGCACACTAACAGCATGAGCTAAATATGTCCCACTTTCCTATCCCATTTGTCTATCTAAAAATATCAAATCACACACATACACATATACCACACATACTTTAACAATAAAAACAAATTCTAAGTGACAACAATAGAGTAAATCTAAAAAAGAAAACAAGTACCTCAACTTTTATAAACTTACTCCATAATTTACAATGTCATCTTTTATAATTAATTTAGCTATTATATAGAGCAATATTGGTATCTTTCAGTTATCAATTTACATCACTTGCTACCCTTGTTGTTGTTGTTGTTGTCAGGTGCCATCAGGTCGGAACTGACTCATAGCGACCCCATGCACAGCAGAACAAAACAATGTCCGATGCTGGGCCAACCTCAATACCGCTGCCACACTTGATGCCATCAATGATGCCACCTGGTTGATCCATCTCGTTGGTGGTGGGGGGATCTTCCTCTTTTTCTCTGACCCTCCATCTTACCAAGCATGGTATCCTTCTCCAGCTACCCTTACCTTCCCAATAATGCTCATATCCTAATTTTACATCATGATAGAAATAAGAAACAGTCCTATTACAGAAAATGAAACCTCCATTTTTGCTTCCAGGGCATTCAAAATCTAGGCCTAACATTTAAAATATGTAGTTATCAGTTAAGTTCTATTAATTTCTTACACTATAGGAACCATTCACTACAAATTGGTGTGAGGAAGGATATGTTCATCCAGTCATTTTAGAATAAATGTCTGAAGTTACCTTTAAATCAGATTCACTGAGAATTCCAATAGGATGGCAGACTAGGCAGACATGCTACACAGACTCTCTACAACAAAGTAACAGATACAGATAATTATCCTAGAGCTCTGAACTTCAGAAGAAATGATAGAGACATGTACTGAACATTTACTAGAAGAGGCTGAATAGGGGAGGCTTACAAAGGAGACTTTTTAAAGTGTTG